CATACATACATACATACATACATACATACATACAAACATTCATATTTACATATATACGTATATACATACATACATACATACATACATACATACATACATACATACATACATACATACATACTATACATACATACATGCATATATACCTACAAATACATACATACATACAAACATATATACACACATACATGCATACCTACAAACGTACATACAAACAAACACACATACATACATGAATACATCCATACAAACATACATACATACATGAATACATACATACATACATAAATACATACATACATACATAAATACGTATATGCATACCTACATACATACATACATACAAACATACAAAGATACGTGCATAGATACATACAAACATACCCACATACATACAAAAATACATACATACTTACATACCTACATACATACTTACATACTACATACATATAAACATACATAAGAACATACATACATACATACATACATAAATACATACCTACGTACATACAAATATACATACAGAAATACTTACATACATACATATATACATACATACATACATACATACATACATACATACATACATACATACACACATACATACATACATACATACATACATACATACATACATACATACATACATACATACATACATACATACATACATACATACATACATACATACATACATACATACATACATACATACATACATACATACATACATACATACATACATACAAACATTCATATTTACATATATACGTATATACATACATACATACATACATACATACATACATACATACATACATACATACATACATACATGCATTCTTACATACATACATACATACATACATACATACATACATACATACATACATACATACATACATACTTACATACCTACATACATACATACATACATACATACATACATACATACATACATACATACATACATACATACATACATACATACATACACACATACATACATACATACATACATACATACATACATACATACATACATACAAACATTCATATTTACATATATACGTATATACATACATACATACATACATACATACATACATACATACATACATACATACATACATACATGCATTCTTACATACATACATACATACATACATACATACATACATACATACATACATACATACCTACATACATACATACATACATACATACATACATACATACATACATACATACATACATACATACATACATACATACATACATACATACATACATACATACATACAAACATTCATATTTACATATATACATATATACATACATACATACATACATACATACATACATACATACATACATACATACATACATACATACATACATACATACATTCTTACATAAATACATACATACATACATACATACATAAACACATAAATGCATACTTCACACTTTCCTACATAAATACAAACAAACGTACATACATGCATACATACATACTTACATACATAAATACATGCATACATACATACATACATACCCTATAGTTACTGGGTCAAGTTCTAGGAAATAAATCAACTGCTTTTGAAGTCACATTGCCCTCTCCGGGAATTTTGATGCGTTTAATCGATTTTTTAGTTGAAACCGCTCAAAAATCTTTCAAAACTGCCGCAAAAAATTAAGCTTTTTTTGAGCGGTTGTATAATGCAAGATTTGAGCGATTTGAAAATTTAAAAAAAAAACTCTCAAAACGCTCAAATTTCTCTGGATAACCGCCCAAACAGTTGAAATCTTGAGCGTTTGTTGAGCCGATTCTCGACCAGAGTAAATTTCCGTAGTAAAGATCCCGCTCAAAAACCACTCACGATTTGAGTGATTTTTCGGACGATTGCATTCAAACCGCTCAAAAAGCTTTCAAAATCCGCTCAAATGAAAAAACACTATGAAACCAGTCAAAACCGCTCAAATTCTAACATGAACCCTCAAAACTCTTCCGATGTATTCTTTTCTGGGCACGCACAATGAAACCTATGAAGCTCAGTATTTCTAACCTTCTGTAATACCAAAACATGCGCCAAAATTCAATCTGAATGATCTAGAGTCCGAAAAACAGTCGTCAAGGTGCATTACTTCTCCTAAAAACTCAAATAAGAAACCGCTCAACTAAAAAAAAGCCGCTCAAAAACCGCCCAAACCGCTCCTTCTAAACCAGGATTGTGAGCGTAATGGTGTAAAAAACCGCTCAAACCGCTCAACTCTTGCTTAAATTTTGGGCTGAAAACCTTGAATCGATTTGCCAACAGTTCATTTGTCAGATCGAACAATTTATTCGAACTCAAACGTAGTTAATCAGACGTATTTTTCCTTAAATTTTTGAGAATCAGATCGAAACGCTGTCAAGTAAGAGTATTATTATTATTAGCAAACTCGACTTGAAACAACTGCTCCATCAAGACTACTCAATATTCAGAGGAAAACGAGAGCTTCCATTAAACTTGAAGTCAAAAATAAAGCTACAGAATTTGACGAAATTGGATAAGTTCTCACAAAAGTTTGTTATTCCGAGATGCAAGCAGCCGCAGATATCTTCTATTTTGCAATCGCGGTTTTCGAGGGAGCTCTCAGCCCATCTGGTCAAATTGACGGACAACAAAAACAGCTCCACCTGTAGATTTAATTTTGACTTCGGGTTTAATGCGAGCTCTCGTTTTCCTCTGAATATAGAGTAGCCTCGATGGAGCAAGGTGGAGCAATGACAAGTCAAAAGGTTGAAAGGGCTATAAAAATAGTTTGATTTTGGCAAAAAAACATAGGGTGACTAGAGTCACCCTGTTTTTTTTTGCCAAAATCAAATAATTTTTATAGCCCTTTCAACCTTTTGACTATAGTCAATGGGAATGGGCTGGGGATGGACTCCTTGAAGAGATATGAATCGCAAATGTTTTTCTTCTGATCTTTTTTTCAATTCTTAATTTGCGATATTTCAAAACGAATTCTCAAAACGTGTTGGCAACAGAATTTCCCCATTCAAGGAAATGAAGTCTGAATTATTGGAATTCTTAAATATAAAATAGAGAAAGGCAGTGGGTTGCAGAACAGTTCACTTTGCCCAGCTGACCCCAGTCACCAGACCTGCGGATTTGAGCTTAAAGGATGTGTAGTCAGCAGAGACTACTGTAGCAAATGCCTGTGACATTCCAAATCAAATAACTGGAGGAAGTGATCGCTCGAAACACTGTGGAGTTGTTTAGAGGTAGTGACAGCGCTGCCGGTCTCACCGATGGTGGCAGCTTCAATGCTACTATTAATATCCGGAAACATTTCCCTCGAAGTAGAATACTATACCAGGGGATTCCTTAATCGACAAATTCGGCGTCACATTTTACGTTGAAAGTCTGTTCATCGGACAAATTTGTTATTTTCTGGCCGAGATGAGTTGACAACTCTCTTTGATTTAACTCTTTCAAATCGAAACTTTTGGTGATTATCCTTATCAATTAAAAACTTTTTTGAAAATCTTTCAGCGCTAACCCAGGCTAATCTATCTGGAGATTTTTTTGTGATTTTCTATTGATTGTATATTTTGTCTCATTGCTTCACCCAGTGGAGCAGTGAAATTCGTTTTTAATATCACCTCCGGCGGAGCAAAAATAGACTTCTTGCTGTCAGTCTAAAGTTTTACGTTTAGTTTTTATTAGTATAGAGAGTTGCGAAAAATTCGGATAGTATTTTATATATTTGATTGTATTTTTTGACCATCATCACTGTAAAACAATTAGATCTAACCAATAAAGATCCATAACTAAAATTGATGATCTATTAAGACTAAGAAATATAAGAGTAAGATTATACTAAGAAGTTGCACGAATCTATTCGGCCGAAAATTACGAAGAGACCGTGTAATCTATCCAAAATTACTCTAAAGAACGAAACACTATTTCTGAATCCGTCTCGACAACTATACCAAACCTCGAAAACCTCCGAGACATATTAAACGATAAAAACAAACAAGTCCCACTGCTCCACTGGGATCAAGGATATTTATCTGAATCAGAAGCTACAACAGCATCATCAATAAAATTTAAACAAAAAAAATCACTTATAACAGGCAACTAGTACGAATTTATAATCGGAATCAATATATAAGACATATTGAAAGTTACGCACCAAGTGTAGTAACGCATAAGAAATGATTCAATACAACGATAATTTCGATAGCGATTCTATCTTCTCATTTGTCTTTGATCCCACTAGTGACCAATCAAGAGGACAAGCACAATTTTGCCTCAATCTAATTATAAATATATTCCTAAAAGGAAATAGCCCATGCCAACAAAAATTTCCAGAAATGAGAATTAAAAGACAGATACTAGATCACTATCTACCCAATCTGTAATATAACAAAACAATGTGAAATTTGAAGTTTTAGGTATCTTGAGACATAGTTTATGTCTAAAAAATTTAGGTTATGCATTCAAAAATTGTTTGAAACAGGTCATTTGCACTTAATTGGTTTTGTCGGTCCAAATTTTTGGCTACCTAATATAATTTGAATAAGTTTATCTGTCAATTCGTTTATTTAATTGATCTAGCAGGTTTTTTCTGACCTTCGAGTGTCTTTTCATTGAAGTACACTTCTCTTTGTTGCTTCTCATTCTTTTAAATAAAGTTGCCTGAATTTATTTCTTCAATATATATATTTTTATTTTTTGACTAAATAGTAATTTAAGTTGTTTCAAATATAATATTTTATGTTTCAGTAACATTCAGGTGAAGCAAAATTTCACATCAACATATATGCGTTTACCTTGCATTTTTTTTGTTATTTTTTCAGTTTTCAATTAGGGATTAAATAAATTCAGATGAAAAATTCACGATGTTTGGGATGGGGGATGATAAAAAAACCCGCATTGTATCAAGCGCCAATATCATAATTCATAAGTTTAAAAACTTTCTGACAGTTTTCTGAATTGGCGGCTTGTGTTGATGCATTGTCATACAACATTAACTTGTGCTGTTCTCTTGATATATCTCTGGAGTATTTTTCAATAGAAATGAAGTTCTTCATCCAAGCACTGGCTGGAAACACAACTTCTCGGTTCAATTTGGTCCGGGCTAATTTTGACATGAACTCCAAACCATTTTTGGAGAAATCTTCTTTTTTAATGACGATGACACGGTTCATTGCATCCAGTTGTTCAGCTGCTTTTTGAGCTAAAATATATTTTATTGAAACAATCTGGTATTTGAAATAGAAATACATTTTTGCGAAGTACAAAAGATAGTTTTTTTCTTCCAGGAGTAATTATGATAAATAAGCTCTGTTTTATGAGTATTTATGAGGTTTTCTACCGAGGACGGAACTCGTTCAAAGTTTCCCGAAAATTAATTAAAAATCGACATTTTCTGACCATTGGAGTTTCAGTATATTTGACTGTAATTTTATTCACCTGCACTGATGAGACGAATCTGCTTTGAACAAACTTCATCAACTGAAGAAATTGGAAAACGGATCACTTTGCTAAAACAAGCTCAAAATGATTAAATTCTTCTGGAAAAACAAACGAGTAAGTGTTTCTTGAAAACCAAAGCATTTTTGATTGAGGAGATAACAAGAAACTAGAATCCAGAATTCTAGTTGGTATACTCCGTAATTCTAGTTGGATTTTAGTTTCCAGTTGATATAATATACTCCAGTTTTTTGTGCACCGGTTTTCGGTATAGTTATTGTTAGCTTGGCTTCGTTCATCATAATAATCGGTCCTGTACGATTTAAGTGAATGAAATAGCTCAAATATGGCTATCGAACAAGGGCGGATTTAGGGGGGAAGTAGCGGACGCCCTTACTCCCCTCCCCCCTCAAGAATTTGACCCTCTCACCAACCAAAAGGTCCCCCCGTTGGTATTATTTCAAGAGATCCGTTTTACGCCGACCAACTCTAAAGTTTTTCAACAGGCGCCGAGGGCGCCAATATATACTAATTTTGAAGGGGAGCGCGCGCCAACGAAACGCAATTTTTTTTCCAAAAACTATCCAAAAATGCCTTTTTTGACCTGTTTTTTCAAAAATTTACCTGTAGCGCAAAATGTTTTTGAAAACCCGCCCTTCTCCCGCTGGAGAAAATCTTAGATCTGCCTGTGACTATTTTCCAATAAAATTTAAAAGATTTTTCAGAAAATTGTCCGAGGATGAGTATGAGAGAAAAAAACTTGAACTACAGACAATCATTAAAGCGGAACTTATTTTATCTAGTGTAAAATTGACTGAAAATTTTTGCTTAAATTTGATTTAGCAAAAACAATATGATAAAAAAATTTAAAAAAAAACTGAAAAGAAAAAATTTGAAAGTTTTTCATTCTGAAAGCAAAAAAATCAAAACGCTTCCTAGGTTTCAAGATAAAGATACTATACTTTATCGCTAGCTGTTAGAGAAAACAGGGTAAAAATTTCAAATGAAACAAGACTGCGCGTTTATAAAGGAAAACCCCGAACCCCGAACTTTCTGACAGCCATTTGAAGCTGAAGAAAAAATTTTTGCTTCATATTGTCAAAAAAGATTTATAAAAAAACTGAAAATTTGATAATTTTTTCTTAATTTTTTCTTTCTTTTTATCTGCCCGCACCTTATGAAACATGAAGAAGTATAAATATTGCATCTCGTATTGTAAAAAAAAGCCAAACTTTTGGCCTCAATTCTGACTTTTGAAGGAAGCGGCAGAATACATAAGCCTTGGCTGGTGTTTTATCAGACAGTTTTCGACTTTTTAAATATGCGTTTCTGACGGAAGTTTTTTTATACTGACAGAATTGTTTTGTCAACCGTAGCTTAAATGTACAAAAAATCTTTTTTGCTGTTTTTCGCGAAACTGTAAGGTTTTGAAAAATTGCTAATTTGCTCAACGGGAAATCAACGCAGATACATTGCGTCCTCATAACACGCGTCAACGGCTGATCAAATTAATCCATGTTGGATTGAGGCCTATCTTTTGGTCGAATTACTCAAATTCGAGGCGCTAAAAAATCTTTTATACTTTGCTTAGCGTGTGGGGTAAAAACAAAGAAAGGCTGAAAACTTAACTTTCTCTTTTCGTTTCTTTGAAATTTTTTCAACATACATTTTTAAACTGGCATTGAAGTGCAGTCAGAAAAATCAGGACTTCGCCCTGATATACAAGCAGTCTTGTTTCAATTTGCAATGAAGTGATTTGCCTCTTACGCTGGCCTCGCGCGTTACTTAATCGATAGCGGCCAAGTTGGCATTTTTCAAACCACTTTTTTAAACCAGAAATGATGACAGGTGAAAAACGTTTTTAATTTTGACTTCAAGTTATAAGTTAAGTTTCCAGACAATATTAAAAAGTTTCTTCACAAATACTTAGTTATAAAAACGAAATTTGAGTATTTGAAAAAACCACCTCAGTCTTGTGAAAAGTCAGAACAGTACGAGTTTTACGCTAAAAAAGTGAAAGTATGGAAATATTTTTCGAATTAATTTTCTAAACTATAAATACTGCAAGTTCAAAGTAGAATATAAGGATGATGACAAAACTTTTATGACAAAACGTCTCGCATTGTTTGCAAAATATGATTAAAAACCCTTGAACTAGTGGGGAAACTCTAGGGTTTAACCAATTTTCGACAAACACTTGAAAAGATTCTTTCAGCTAGTTAAAGTGCTGTAAATTGTTTTCACACAACTTCTTCAAACCTTAAAAGATTATAACAGTGTTTGCTCCTGTTATAAACTGATGAAACCGAAAATTGAACTTTTCTTGTTTGGGTTTGATTTTTTTTTCAATGTACTCAAGAGAAAATGCGTTCTGCTTTATTGGCCGTTTTATAAATTCAGTGTTTCTTTCTCTCCGTCTCTCTAAAAATGCGTCCAATTCTAAAAAATCTTGCTGCATGAACTTTTTGATTTTTTTTTTTGCCTGTGACTCACTTTGAGACGTAGACCTTTCTGGGGTCCCTGATGAGAACGAGAATCATGAGGTCTGGATGGTGCTGAAGGAGTCTCGCGTAAAGTGTCTGTTGCAGTGCCTCCGACAGGATCTGGGCTCGGATAGTCTTCACCACTCTCAAGTCGGACGAAGGACAATGCTCATCAAAATAGTGACGACATTTTTCCTAATACGATATAGCTCCTTAATACAACTTCAATATAGCTCTACTGCTCATAGATCATACATTTAGACATATTCTGAGAACCGTTATTTCATTTTGACAACAAAACATTCGATAAATTTTGTACAACAGTGGAAAATTTACCGACTTCAGCATTTCAGTAAATGCAAAAAAGCATCTTTTTTGAATGTTCGAGCTGAAGCCAGATCCGTTTTCATTCTTGTCAACGATCCAAATTACCAAAAAAGGCGCATATTCCTTCTGGAGCTGGAGCCTAACTTCTCATCAACCAAAGCTTAGTGGAAAGTCAACCAATGATTTACTCGCCAAACTTGAAGTAAGCTATAGCAAAATTTATAATATATAAATTTTACAAAATACCTTTTACAAAATACCGATACTTCTACCATTTGCATTCAAACCAATTTGATCATAGAGTAAAAACCTTGCTAAAATAAACAGATAAAATTGTATAAACTCACTATGAAACGCCTACTTTACGTCGGCTAATATTTTTGCAAAGCTAGAGTTGATTTCTTTTCTCAGTCCAAGCACCCACCAACCACTCACTCGGACAGGGGGTGATTCTCATGCGCGAAGGATCGAATGCGCGAAAATTCTCAGCCAATCAACGCCCTTTTCATTATCCAAAACTGACTTAATACGTCGCTGAATTCTTTCGAAGTTTTGAATACTCAGCTCTGATTGAATGGCAAAATTTTCGCGCATTTGGCCCTTCGCACATGAGGGGATTCTTCCCCTGCTCAGACATACCTTGTGGTAAATGTGGGTGATGCGTGGTATCTGGCGCTGGTCTTGTTGGTAAGTGCAGAAGTGATGGTAATAGACTGCTAGTTCCAACTCCCACCCCATCCTCCCCTTCGCCTGCACTTCACAGGAGAAGAAAGAGTTCAGAACTCCGAATACCCTCTCCATCGTCCCCCACTTCTCACTTCTGTAGATAAAGTACAGATGGGGGTTTGATTTTTCAAAGTACGGTCAGTAAAGAAAGCAAGCGAGAGTGGCACATATTAATGTAACAACAGATAACTTTCTATTGGAAAAAAAAACAAAAAAATTTTGTTTGCGGTTTTTGACAATATTTTAAAAAATTTATTCAGTAATTGCTCGAATTAAAGTCATCTCTCGCTCTCATTGCATTTGTTCACGCTCAAAATCTATTCAGTCTCATTATACACTTCCCCGGCAGAACATTAATCAGACGCGAACAAAACAGAAAAGCAAAAACTTTCAGATTTGTTCCCGTATACATACGCACAAAATTACATATTTATGCTAATGTTAGATTCTTTGATAATTTTAAACGTTTTTTAATCAACGATCTCCAGCGGAAAACAGCATGCTGATTTACTGCCACAAAAAACTAATAAGTAACAAGTTTCTTTCGATTTAAATTTTGCTTTGAAATTTAATAGTTTGCCAATATTGTTAAGAAAAAAGTCTAATTTAAACTTACTGTGTCTCTATCATCTTTCTGAAGTCGTAAAGAGGCTCGAATGTCCGGAAGGATTTGGTTGAAATCTTTGCTAAGGACAGGGTGAATATTGACGAGGCGCTACGTGGGAAGCTAGTGACCAGAATCTTCCGATATGTCTCGTTTATTCTCTTCATCATATTTGATCGTAGCGGGGCTAAAATTTTAATGCGTTATTTACTCAGTTTCAGTTTTTCTAAATTGTTGATATTTTACGCAATATATGATCATTAGAGGCTGGAATATGTTTTTTATTGTGTTACTTCGGTTAAATCGCTCAATGCGAAGTACACATCAGCCTACCTACAGTTTTGCTGGGCTCGAATGAGTTGGACGAGCGTTTCTAAAAGGACTAGGATATCAAATTTTCAATCAATTTTCTCCTATCGATATAACACCTAAATCTTAATTTAAGTTTTGATGTTGAACTAACCGGTAAATGTAAGAAATGGCGCTAAATTTTTAAAGAAATTGACAGTGTTTTTGAAGTTGTATTATATCTTTTACCAAGTTTTCTTCGACGCTTTTGCCAGATTTTTGCATGTTGAATTCTTTTTTTCTGCCCTGTTTTCAACTGCGCGTTGTTGATTTGATGACAAAAACGAAGTTCCGAAATCTTTCTGATATCAAAAACTTGGCAACACCTTGGCCTACTTTCTTGGAAATTAACAATTTTCGCTCTCAGATAAAAGCAGTCGCAACCAGAAAAAAGAGCCCAATCAACTGGTACAAGCTTAAAAATACATACCGTTTGTCAACAACCTATAATTAATAAATGAGAGTGCGGGTTTTAGTTTCGATTTTTGATGAGAGTGATGAACTGCTTGTGCTTGAAATTTGAACCACTTTCAATTAGCGTGAACTTAATTGTTTCAATACTGGGAAGCGTGGCGAATAAACTGGTCCCAGAAATTAATCCAAAGTCAATTGAAGTTTCGCCGATTGATCTAGCTGATTTCCCCGATAAAATCTCATATCTTTAAAATCTTTCCAAGAAAAAGTATCTTGATAAGAGATTACATTTCACGATCTTGCAAGATCTTTAAAAGAGATACAACCTCTTTTAAAGAATATTGCGAGATAACCATCCCCGGGTTGACCAAAAATGCTAATCAGACAACTTTCATTTATGAAAAAATGCTAATCATACACTTTTCATGCAATTCCATAAGTACAGAAAACTGCATGAAAGGTTTATGATTAGTGATATTTCATATATGGAAATTGTATTACTAGCATTTTCTCATAAGCAAAAAAAAATGATTTTAAAAAAATTTAGTTTCTCAAAATTTATATGATTTGTGCGTGACCGAAGACAAGTGACAAAAACCATGTTTTACTCAAAACAAGAGTCACCAAAGGTTTGATCGTCTTGCATTTAGAATGCATTGGAAACGACATGAATTGTATAAGAGTTTTCTTACAAAAATAATATACCAAAGGCATCAAACTTTTAAATGTTGGCAAAAATTTTCAACGATGATATTTTTTATAATTTGACATTGATCAAGGCATATATAAAATGCCATGCAAAAAAAAACAAAAAAAAACATAGGAGTTCTTAGCCTTTTTGAAAAAAGTTATTAGGCGAAATGGAAAAACTAATTATAGTGTATCCAGGACTACGTTACGCCCAAAAAAAATTAAATTTGCAAAAAAAATTTGGAAAAAGTTTGTTTGAGTACAAAATTCGAGTTGCGGTTGAAAAAAACCAAAAAAACTTTTTGGGGCAATTTCAAAATTACTTTTTGTTGTCGCCATTTTTGTTGTCGCCATCAAAAAATGCTATCAAAAAATGCTTGCATATATGGAAATTGTATGATTAACATTTTTTTGACAAAAAAATGGAAATTGTATGATTAGCATTTTTTTGACAAAAACATTTTATTTTTTATTTAGTATGATACACCAACTTTTATGCCAAAACAAGAAAAAATTCGTTGCAGTTTCGATGATACCATTTCAGAAAAATGTATGAAATTTGTATGACTAGTATTTTTTCATAGACTTGGTTTATGGAATTGTATGACTAGCATTTTTAGTCTATGGAGGTCAGCACGGGTCTTTGGTTGACTAGAATTGTTGTGCAAAAACTTACCGATTTTTGTCAAATTGACTTCCGGCAGTTTTAGCCTTGAAGAATTGAGTGAACTGTTCTTGTCATAAAATAAAACTGGAGTCATCTTTTCGCCTTTGTTTAGATCGATTGAGAGATGGCACCTTAAAAAGAAAAAGTCGAACGGTTGTTCAAGTTTGCCATCATGATTTTGTGTATCGTCAGCCATCAATATTTCACTCATTTTATATAGAATTTGATAGAAAAAGGTAAACCAAAAAAGTTAGTCTTTTTGTACTCTGCTATTGAACCGCATTTTCGAACACTCGTGCAATCATAATTCCCTTTTTTTGATGTAATCAGCGTTAGGACGGAACTTTTTTGACGGAAATTTTTGTAAGCAAAGGCAACAGTAAAAAGTCGACGAGTTTTTGTCATAAGAGAAATAAACCAACGTCACTAAAGCGGGCGAAGAATTCCAATAGAGGCAAAATTGTTTTGTAAATTCAAAAGTTACGAATTGATTTTTTTGTTCCGACTACGTGAAAAGTTTGTTTTGTGCCATTTTGGGAATTCAAAACTAAAAAAATCAAAAAAAAAATAGAAATATTCTTGAAGTTTTTTAACATTTTTTTTCATTCATCTGGTCCTATTTCTGCAGAAACTATTTTCCAATTGGCCTATTTCACAATAACTGTCGATCAAACCTAATTTTCAATTTTTATTTAGATCAAACATTCAACACACAGAAAAAAAACAACACTGAATTGAGAAACAATTGCATTTAGGCTACTTGCACAGTAATCGGCGTTTAAACCTAGAATCTAGTTATAGTTAAGCCGAAAGTCTTCGCAATAGTTTTTTGTTCTAATCATTGTCGAAAAAATGAAGGAAAATTCGTACTCGGGGTGTTTTATTCTGCAGGAGAAATTTGACATTTTAAGTAGCAATTTATGACGGAATTTTAAAATATAATTCGAAAAGTTTTGTTGTCCTGAGCTCAAATTTAAGAAAAGTATATCACTGTGATTTTTTAAGTCAAGGACAACAGGGCGAAGGAACTTCAAGCCAAACGGACTTCAGAACATAAACTACACTTTACAGGCGTCTGAAAACACCTATAAAACAAATATTTATGTTCTCGCCTGTAAAAAGTTAGTTTTCGAAATTTTAGGCAAGCTTAGTCCATATTAAGCGGTATTAATGACAATTCCTTTTTTAGAAATGGCCTCAATTAGTTACAACAACCGGGTTTTGAAAAACATAGTTTTTACACTTGAAAAACGTCTTCAACAATGTTTTGGTTTTTAACATTTTTAAACATCAATTAGAGGCTTAAATTTTCTGAACAAGCCAATAACTGATAATAAAAAGTCATGAAAAGAAAAATTTTTCAAAGCAGTTTTTAAGTTTAATGATTTATTTAATGATTATGTTTGAAGTCCCGTCGGCTTGATCTCCAGCACCCAATAATTTTTGTAAAATTATAGGGGTGTAATGGTTGCTAAAATGGTCATTTTGGGACAGTTAACGCGCTTTTATTTTCGCACTACTTGCGCATAAACAGAGGTTTAGTTCGTCTTAAAAGCTGATCGAAACTGGTTGAAGCAGGCTAATAGTCGTAATTGTTACAATACTTAATACGGCGTGAGGGGAGATGATTTCCAAAAAAAATATTGAAAAGTTAATTTATTTTTAAAAATTCATCTTTGTTTAGAAATAAAACTGCTGCATAGACGTCTTAAAAAGCAGTCGGGACATTCAGAGATTCGCCTTGATACAAGCAGTTGTTTCTTTTTATCTTCATACCCTAGCTGTCGCATAATACTAATTTATCACTTTCTTATTTTGTGATTCCGTTTTTGGAAATTGAAAATCCGTTTTTTGAGAAACTTTAAAAATTCTAGATCCGCTTTGTTTTCGACCTTCTGTTTTGGTTTACTGTCCGTGAAGGTTACATGAAACCCGCTCTGGATTTGAATGGATCATGATCGATAATATTGGAGTTAAATTGTCAACCTCAAAAAAATTCAAATATAATTGATTACAATCGATTAAAAATGGATTATAATTCCAATATTTTTAAATCACTAATACTCATTTGTAATCAGTTATAGTCAATTATAATGGATTTTTTTTTGATATTTCGTGTGTAGGTCAGTTGCTTCTTTACATTTAATAAAGCAAAATAAGATTTTGTGAATTGATTTTTTTGTTTCATGTTGCTAAATATCTATATTAAAATGTATCTTCGATTCGTCATAGTTTTGCAGAAAAAGTGAAACAAGCTGAGAAACTAATTGAATAAATGGATTTTTGTGGAGATAAAATCAATTTTCATGGAATTAGGCTGAGAGAAAACTAAGTGAAGAAAAATGAATTTATGAATTGATATGGAAAAAATCAATTTTATTCCATTAAAAATGGAATGTAAGTTTGGAACTGGGATTTATAATTGAATATTTTGTCCAACACTTTGATGACTAGAAGCCTCATATAATCGGTTATTATCCATTCATTTCCAGAGCGGGATGCAATTTGATTGGGCCAATGTTTTCTAAATTGAGAATATCTGTAAAGAATGAGGGGGAGAGCGTGCAGAAACCCAATTTTGTGAAAAATCGCTCGTCGCACCCTCTCCGTAATTTCCGTAATTTAGGCTTCCTTAGCTACTTACAGAAAAGAAATAATAAAACAAGCAAGAAGAAACAAAATATGAGGTAATTTCACTTTTTTCATTCAGAAATCGAGCTGATGTTTTCCAACTGACCCGAAATTATCATTCAAATAAAATCAATATATGGTCGAGCAGTAAAGGAGTCGATTGTAAAGTATTTGTCACGCTCGCCGGCGAAAATTATGGTTTCATGAATACATACATTAATTTCTATTATTTGGCAACAAATTTTTCCAGCTTTTTACAAAGAATCATGGCTTGGTTTCGTTTCGATAAATGAGTTTTCTGGTTAAATAAATAAAACTTGAGAATGTCAGTGAGCTTTTTTGTCGACGACGGGAAATTGATTTCCGAAGTGCGCATAAAATGCAAACATAATGCTACAGTTGAGCAAATATGGAAGGTCATTTCATTTTTCGAGAGTGGAGAACGGTTGATTTTTACCGGACTTAATTTCGCAAAATCAAATATTAATAAGCAATAAGAAGCGAAGCAATCGCAAAGCATTGAAATAAAATAATTATATGAATCTTGATATGTGAATGAACATCATGTCTGAGTACTTAAGCTATACAGGCATTTAGAGATTTAGAAATAGAATAATAAAAAAAATAACCTGTATCTTCGTCGACCGAACCTTACAAAAAATGAGCTCAGGAGAATTTTCTTTTAATTTTGAGCTCAGATCTAAACAGGGGCGGATCTACAATTTTATCGAAGGGGCTGATTTTCCAAAAAAAAAATCTTGTTGATGTTTTTTTTAGGTCAACCAAATTGATTTTGTGAGCTCTCCTAAATCAAAATAAAGACCCTAATTTCACCAATAATTTAGCGCCGCTGAGAGTTTTTGCGTTTTTGCGTTTTTGCGTTTTTAAGCACTTTTTGGGATAATTTGACCAGACTGTGCTTCCATCTAAAAACTAGTGTATTTTAGCGCCCAAGGCGCCTTCAGAAAAAACTGAGGATCAGTCAGCCAAAAATAGATATCTCAAAATAGAACAAAGGCGGACCCACTGGGCCGGCGGGAGGTCAAATCCCTGAAAGGAGGCGTCCGCCGACCCCCACCGCCCTAAATCCGCTGGTGGGCCTAAATACCTTTCAGGAATAGTTGGCTGCAAGTTCAAAATTTTGGCTAAGAAACCCATGAAGATTTCACAAAGACAAAACTATTAGAAGCAGAAAATTCATTTAACTTAAATACTTATTGGTTAAATTCAAAAAAGTGTTGTTTGTTTTTTTTCGAAAGTTTCAGATTTTCAGAAAAGATTTTGAGCTTCAGACTTAGCGCTTAAGAACTATAAATTGATAACAATAGCTGTACGTAATTTTCAAGGAATTGTGACTCCAATCAGTTATTTCTCAATTTTTCCACCACTAATTTTTGTTTGTTTTTTTTTTGTAAAGAAATGTTATTTTTTTTCATCATATAACATCTTCAACAAAAAACTATGACAATCAAACAATTAAGCGCCGGAGAAGATAGTTAAAATACGGATGCAAGGCGTACTAAGAGGTTACTTTTCAGTAGAAATATAATAAATATAGCCGGTTGCAGTGCAAGTAGCACAGAAAGTTCCCGCCATATTTTTAACAAATATATGATAAGTTTTTCTCCTGCTTTTTTTCCAAATTAGTGCTGTTTTTATGCGTGGTCAGACGAAAAGAACTGAAAAACACATGAAGTTTTAAAACAACTGTATTTATTGAAAGACTAGAAGAAATGTTGAAGTTGCAGAAATGTTGAAGTTTTTTAATCCAAACATGGCGCGAAATACATTCAAAAAAAGTTTCACTAAAAATTTGTGGCTTATTTTTCTAAGATAAGCCTGCTCGCCTGCTTTAATTGCTCGACATTAGGTTAAAACTGAAAAATATAATCAAAACGGGTTTTTCTCGAAAAAATTTCACTGAAACGGTTTTAATATGAAATATCACTCGAGCCATTGGGTTGATCATTTGTCGTACGTTTCATTGTTGAAAAACAAATAAAGCCTGCTCGCTCATCTCTTTCGCTTAAAATTTAAACAAAAATCTAAAATTCTGAAATTTCGAACCGGTTTTTCCTCAACATTGAAATTTCTGTTTCAAAACTATTAAATTTTGTTTGACTAACAACTGCACGAGCTCCAATATGGTATATCACTGAATTCATTCCGATAATTATTCTTAGCGCGTGATTTTGCGGAAAACAAAAAAGTGAAAAAGAAAAAACTAAAACAAATCGTCGAAACAATAGGTTAATTTATCAAACCTAAACCTTTTGGTAAGCAAAAATTTTTCATTGAAAATCTATTCAACGATTATAGCCCAAACTTAGAAGCAGTTTGTAACTAGCAAAACTTAACACCAAACAACATTACAATGAAAATAACTTGAAAATAACGAGAAAAACCGAAATTCCAACCTTTATAATTTTTTCAAACAACTTCAAACCAGAGTTTTCTTGAAAACCATAAAAACTCTGGCGTTGAGATCTTCAGTCTCATAGCCAAAACCCCAAGACAGACATGCAATTGCATTTAGGGAGTCTCAGTGGAAAAGTTGAGATTAAATCACTAGTAAAAAAAAATCTCTGAAGTGTTTTTCCACTAGAAAATGTTAATATCAGTAATTTCTTGGCTTATGAAATATGGATGCAAAAGATTACATTTATAATCAATCAAGTTTATTTAAAAACACAGCACATGGCATTAATTGTTTTTATGAAAAAAAGCTTCCTAAAAAAACCTATTGGTATAAGTAATTTTAAGAAAGCTTCGTAAAAAAAATATGTTATATGGGACAACAAAAAAGGTTTTGATAGACTAATCATGACATTTAAAGGTACTAATTACTAAAAACAATTACAAAAACATTTTTTTTTCAGATATTTGTCGTAGAAATTGCTTAACTTGTACTGAAAAACTTATACGATGTTCCAAGGAATTTCTAGTTATCTACATAATTTTGAAGCTTTTTTTTGTAAAGTTTTCGAAAAACTGAGTCCATACTGTTCTAACAGTTAGGTAAAAGAAGTTCTGCATTGTTTGATTTCACATTGAGACTTTCTTTTCATGCAAGCATCGACGTCATCTGGCAAGTTTTTAATGTGTTTTGGAGTAATTCTAGAAACGTGCTTTTCATTATCAGACTGGTATTATCTGCAAATTGAATAGCTCAATTTTCATTTTTTAAAACTAAATGAAAATCCTTAACGCATCGGTTGAAATCTATTGGTCCGATAACTGTGCTTGGGGCACTCCATGATTCAAGTTTTTAATTAAGATATAAAATTTTTTAAAATTTATTGCATGTTGGCGTTTTTTCAGAGAGTTTTTAAAACGGGTTCAGCCGTTTTTGAGTAACTCATTTTATCCTGAAAAATTTTGTGAGATACTGGGTTGAACGCTTCAGCAAGATCCAAAAACAGCAAGGATAGCCGGTGACTGTACAAGTAGCACATAAGGTTCCGACCATAGATAGTCTTTAGAAAACTACGGTTTAGAAAGTTCTTTTTCCAAATAAAGTTTTTTTTTCTGCTTGTTGATAAAAGGATCTGACGTAAAATTATTGAAAATATAAATTAGGCATATTAGACAGTCATAGTAATATAGGCAAATTGGACAAAAATTTTTGCAGAAAGAGGACTAGAAATACTTTTAAAATTTTTATTCAAAATTTCTGGAGAAAGTTTTCGAATTTTTTGTAGTTTTTGATTCCCAAATGTGCGCCAAACAACTCCAGAAACTACCTCTATCTGAGTAAAACTTAGTTTTTACGGCTTGAATTAAGCTTAAATAAGCTATTGCAATTACTAACTATCTTACTAAAAAGCTCGAAATAAAAAATATAAAATTTCAAACCGGTTTTTTCAACACTGTGAAAGTTTATTCAAATTTTTTTTAAAAATCGTTTGAATTACGACTGAAAGGGTTTCAACATGATATATCACTCAACTCTGTTCAATGATTACTTGTGGTAGCTGATTACTTGTGGTACCACTGAGCTTGTCCCCAGTTTCAATGGTCGGAACCAAAACTGCAGACATACCTTTACTGCGATCAATAATTTTAAGTATTTCCATTACTGAGCTTACAGCATCGAAGGAAAAAGTTTTTTAAGAACTGAATTGATCAAAAAATCTGACAACAAATTTTTGGAAACAACTGTTGAATATTCTAGGCTCAAACGCCTCTCAAACAATTATTTCAGTTTTTTGATGTGAAAAAAAATGCCAAGATCCAACATGATCTTGCCAAGGTTATTAAAGAACTTGCTAAGTCACTACGCAATATCGCATAAAAAGACAGAACAATAATTCTCTGAAAATTTTCTTTTAAGCCCTACAAAATAAATACGCATGCCTTATATGCATTATACAAGATTCCTTGAATTGCGCCCAGTGATATTTGATTTTTCTAGAATTCCTATATCGAATTTTGATTTTTTACTTTTGCCTAATTTTTCTGACTCTAGAATTGCCTGTTGTCTAAAAAGATCTATCGATCTAATTGAAACAAAAAAGTTCTCTTGGCGCGTATTGGAGTTTGAACAATTAGCTAGTTGTGATCCTTCGAGTCTGATTCGACCAAACTGCCATCAGCAACTTTAAGGAGACCAATGTGATTGTTCACAAATCTGGTTCGATTTCAAGCAATCAAAAGTTTATCGTGAAAATTAACAGAGGTCTGTTTCAGGGTTATTTTGCATGCAATAGCCTTGAATAAACTTTTTAATCATTATTTATGCCCATTCTAAACATTATTTTTTTTCTCCCCATTAACATAAATTTTAGAGCCACCAAAATTTTCTTCTGTATTAAAAGTTCGTAAAATTCGAGGATGAAGGCTAAAAAAGTCAATATATTATTTGTTGGTTCTCTTTAAATATCCTCCTATGTAAACTAGTAAGAAATAAACTCCCCTATAAAGGAAATTCAAGGGTTAATCAACCAAGAATTTATCGCACTGAAATTAAGACTTCAAAGATTGAAAAACCAAAATCTTTTTTGATGTTAAAGGGCTATCGGAACGTTCAGAGCTTCTCTGATGCAAGCAATAGACGTACAGTATTATCGATCACCTTTACCTTATTTTTCTGGTAATATTTCTTGAAAAAGGGCCAGCCGATCGAATATTCATTGCACAGATACAACAAAAAATGACACAGCAGCCAGCCCATAAAAAGGGCGCAAGC